GAGCTCGCTGGGCGGCGACGGGAACCAGGGCGGAGACGGCGTTGGTCATCTCAACGTCGTCCTCGTCAAAGTCGGAGTCGGAGTCAGAGTCGGAGTCGGAAGAGTCCTCGTCGTACGCCTCCTCGGGCTGCTCGACGATGCGGTCGGCCCACTGCACACGACGGTCGGCGGTCTTGGTGTTGTTGCTGGCGCCGCGGACCGACTGGTTGAACCACCGCTCCTGCTCACGCTCGGCATCGGCAAGTTCGAGCATCAGGGAGTCGAGCAGGTTGGCGTGGCCGACGAGGAGGCGGAGGTCGTGATCGGGTTGGGCAGCCTCGCGGGAGAGCTTGGCCCGGGCCTTGTGGGCCAGGTAGTAGGTCTGCGTGATAGACATGGTCTTCTTGGGAGCAGATCGGATGTGAGAGTAGGTTGAAGAGAGAGCAGGTTGTTGAGGCTGAGCTACTGCTGCGGTAGGCATTTTGGTTGGTTTTAATGGTGGAGGGAAGCAAGTTCCTTTATGTTTGAATGTTGTTGTTTTTTGCCTCGGGTGGATATATGAGTGAGTCAAGGCCCGATTGCGGATAGCCGGTGTAGCTGACAGGGATGTCGAAACAAGCTTGTGCGGCTACTCGAGGGCGGTGATGGTGATGAGAGAGACTGGGCAAATGATGTGACGGCCAGCTGCATGTATTGCGTGCGATCGGGTTGCGGACGGGTTGTAAACTCTTAATTAGAGGTGCAACAGCTGTTTCGGCTTGCTTGGTGATGGAATTGAATCTTGTGTTTTCAACATTGTTCGAATCCGAGGAACGGGGGGGGCCCGAGGCGTGATATACTTCTCAATGTCCGGACTTTTGGAACTGGAGCCTGGCGAGAATCCGCATCCCCGAGCCCTGGGAACGACGACGACGCCGACGCACGCTGCTAAGCGGACTTTGTGCACGCGGCCCCGAGCAGCACGACAGCGACGCCGGTGCAGGGGTGCGGGTCGTGCGGGTGTGGTGCATTAGCAAAGCAGAGTGGGGCGCCGGGGGGGAGGCGTGTCGACGATTAGTGAGCCTCTTGCGGGAGGTTGTGACTCCTTTGGGTGTGCCAGAAGTGTAACGCCATGGGCTCTTGATTCCCATGACATTCCGCAACAACCGCTGACTAAATCCGAGTTGCCTGACAAACCGAACGCCATGATTCCGTAAGTTGGAGCCGGACGTCTCTTGTCCGAACGCGGTACCGCCCTCCCGGCCCAGACAGCACGCATTACGGGAGTACCTCTGCGCGAGGAGATACTTCGGCTTGTTGGCCGGACTTGTCGAGGACCGTTCTGGCGACTGTCAATGACTGAGACTGCCTGTGACTGCCTGTGACTGCGGAACACCATACTTTCAAGGCGCCGCGCCACGGCGTTATGTAAGACTCGATGCGCACCGGCAGTTGAGTCAACTGGTCTGGTAGGTCGCTGCCAGGGAGTGCCAGCAAACGCCGTTTGGCCATTGAAACTGACGTGCTACACTATGTCCGCCTATGCCCGTATTTCTCAGCAGCTGCTGCCATTTGCACTGCAGAGCGCCAGTGGCTGTCGCCGGCACATGTAATGTTTTGATGAGACAAATGACCGCACGCCTCCATTTGTCCGCAACACCGTTCCCACCTCTCTGGTTCTGTCACATTCTCCGCACGACCATGATTTCTTAGCATTACAAGACACTACGCCAAAAGCAAGTCAGCTAGGGCGTACACATGTAATGCAAAGCGATTTTACTGCGCGCCTCTTGTGCCGGAAGGTGTAATTGGTTCATTAGAACAATGTGCGCTGCCCAATATTTCGCTGCAGTTTGCTTCTCGAACGCATGCCCGCATTCCTCGCATTCGCAGCGAGCAACCAGGAACACGGCTGGGGAGAGACGGACAACTGACGGACCCGAAAGCGACAAAGCCACACTGGCGACGACGAGACTTGGCCAGACAACGAAGCTGTCGGCGCGGCCTGACGGGGGTCCGACAGTAGGGCTGAGCTTGATGATGACTCAACCCTCGAATCCCCACCCTTGGCCAGGCAGCTAGGCTTTTGCATGGCTCCACCCTAACAAGAGAAGAGATTAGATGCCGCTTTAATTGGGCGCCATCATGTCGTCGAGTCCGAAGGGCCATGCGTCTTGTCAGATTGAGCGCAACGCAGAATGATTCATCGTGACGGTGCATTAATAGACGAATCATTCGCGCCAATTGCTGTCGAATGAAGGAATCACAGGGGAAACATTGCAGTGTGGAAGATTTTTTTCTTCTTTCTTTTGAACGAGGTCGCATCAAGACAAGCACTGGGTTACATGGCATTGGTAACCGAGACCACCCCTTCACCACGTCTCAGGTTCTTCTTCTCAGCCCCCGACGCTTTGTCTGCCTAATTTCCCAATCTCAGATCTCGCGACGTCGTTCCTGATTACGCAAGTCATTTCGTCTGCCATATCACTTCCCAGGAACCCAATCTGCGGAGCATGATGCCCAGGCCACGAATCTCCACGTTGACCATGGAAAAGACGATTCCCCAATTGTCCTCTTCACGCGAGGGCCCAAGGGCGGCATCCACACACTCGCCTGATCCAGGCAGCGCCTCGTTCGCTCTCGCTCTCTCTGCTTACTGGTAACCACAAAAGCCAAGCCCAAAAGCCAAGCTCGAAACCTCCGCTGTTCAGGTCCGGCCACCGTGTTGCCTAGGTCCGCGCCTACAAGACGCAGTCCGCAACCATCAGCCCGTCCAGATGTCATCCGCTGGCATAACGGTGCCTGCGGCGTAATGCGTAACCGTTGGCATGACTGACTACAACTCCCCAGGTGAGGGGACACGTTTTTCACGCGCGGCGCGCGGATCCACGTGCCCTTACCGCACGGGGAGATTGATATCCTCAACGCGGTCTATGCGTCGCCGTTTGCTTTTATTGCCCTGAGATTGTGCATTTGCGTTGCCTTTGGCAGCATGTGAACCGTGCTTGTGTTGATCCAGGCCAAGGGACGACCCATGCCCAGTCGTCGAAAGAGGCACATGAGATGCAAAAAATTTCCGTCCATTGTTTTTCCCAAACGCATCTCGCCAATCCCGTTCCCAAACATCTGCCTCATTCCTCCACCATCACAACATTGGATGGAATATCCGCCATTCGTCCTCAAGCCCGGCGGCTTATTCATCGTGTCCCACCTAATCCGATGCCCTCAGCTGCGGGGGGGGGGAAGAAGATTCCTTTGCTCAGTCAGCGGCCGGAAAAAAAAAATCCGGGGTCCACACCACTAGTCGGCATTTTGCCAGGCTCCGTGCCGATGCCTTACAAATTCATCCCAGTGCAGAATGTGTCCGTAGCAAGCCCCGTCCGTCAGCATCCAAGCCACTTTGCCGACAGAGCAGGTTGAACGACGATTGCCGAAACAGATCAGATCATCCGGAAGCATGCTGGCCTCAATATCTTCTGCAGTGTAGCCGCGGGAAACGGGGGGAAACAATGGGCCACAAAGGCTTCACATGACCTCGTCGTCGACAGAGGTGTGCATCTAGAGATGGCCTCGCCAACGAGAAAAGAAAAATACTCCCGGCATCCGAGAAGGAGGCCGTGGATAAGAAAAGAAAACGCCGCTGTTGCTGTTTCGAATCCCGGCATATGAACACATGACCGCGTTGCAAGATATTTCCCGGAGCAGGGGAACCATCAAGGGCCAATTGTAAGTGGTCAATTGACATTCTCGTCCGCTGTTCCCGGCCGCGAGCCTCAAGGTGCCTGGCGGGTGCGAAGCCGTGCTTTTCCTTGAACATTGTCCACCCTGCTTCGGGCCCGGAAGGAGGGCTGCAAGAAGTTGTTTTCGGCTGGCCGGTGCCCCGCAACTGTCGTCCTTCTAGAAACTTGCCATGGAAGGGTGCTCGTGGCGCCCCGCTTTTACGGCGATAACCGGGTTGAAGAAGTTGGGAGGGCACCCTTGCTCAGCCTTGTGACCATGGGCTCTGCTCTGCTCTGGTCTAGCTACCGATGGCTCCGTGTGTGCATGTTCGCTCTGCTGGCGGGGGTTGTTTGTTTTTCATTTATTTATTTATTTCGCATTAGCTATCGTGAGTGGGGGGTCCCTGCCCAAAGAATAGCGAGCCGACCTGTAGGGTCTTGTGAATGCATTTGGAAGGAGGGAAGCGAGGCGACGTATCATGTGTGACGCGCCCGAGTCCCCCCCGATCTCGCTGTGGTTCGAGATGGTTACTGCCTTCAAGAGCACCGTTGCGAGATTGAACTGCTCGCTCTTGCTGATGAGATGCCGGCGCTGCGGATACCCGAGGAGCGACAACAGAGGCGCCCTGCCTGTCACACTGATGTCTCGTTGCGGCATGCCGACGAGACCAACATGGTGAGAGGCATATTCCTTCGTCCCATGTCTTTGAGTCTTCGTGCGACACCTCCATCTCGTGTTGAGCTGCTACGGTTCATTCCCAGAGCCGAAAAATTCGGAAACGGCAAACGAGTCAAGGCCTGTTTAATTGGGCGTTGGGATGTTTCTTCTTTAATTTGCGCAGACGCACAAGCAACCTGACTCAGAGGACGAGTTGGCTGACATGCATGACATAGACTGGACTTTTTGGTGTGAAACTGCTCAGCTCAAGCGTCAACGACTTTCGCATATATTTGAATATTGAAACTGCAATTTGGTTGCGGAAATGCGAAAACCGGCAGGGAAGGGAAAACGTGACTATATGCGTCTCATAGTAGAAGCGGGTTAGTCATGATGCAGCTCATACACTCCAACGCTACTGAGCGCTCTCTCCCTAGGTCCGGACAATCCATTTTTGACCCAATAAAGGCTTCTGGAGACTTGTACCATATCCGCGGGGGCGAATCGCGCCAAATTTACAAATGACTAAAGTGTATCCGGGATGCGTGATGCGTCTGTGAGACACCATGTCATATTGTGAAAAAGGTCTAAAACTGCCTCTCATGTTATTGTATTTGAATGCCAACCCAAGGGTATATCATCTATGCGGTTCTATTTGACTCAATTTACTCAGCTCGGAGCTTCATCTTCGCTCTCTTTCGCTTGCCCCCAACCTCTTTGCCCTCTTCAACCTCGAGCAGCGCCTCTCTCTTCTTCTCACTCACGACCTTGAGCGCATCACGAATAACTCTAGTTTCCAGGTTCACACCTTCCTCCTCCCAGGCATCCATCTGCCTACCAACTCGGTTCTCAATGGCCAACACCAGCTCTACATCTCGTTGTCCTACAAACGTGGCTGACTCCCCCGTGCGTCCGGCACGAGCAGTACGGCCAACTCTGTGGATGTAGTCGTCCGGGTCCCTCGGGATATCGTAGTTGACAACAAGACTCACTTCAGGGATATCCAGACCTCGTGCAGCAACATCCGTGGCTACAAGAATACGCGCAGCAGATGCACGGAATCGAGCGAGGTTGTCAATTCGTTGTCTTTGGGGAAGCTTGGAGTGTAAAGAGGTAACGCGATGGTCAAGAAGTCGGAGGAGATGGTGTAGATAGTCTGCGGTAGCCGTTCTGTTGCAGAAGATGATGATGGTCTTGTCCTTGTTTGCTTCAGTGAGGAGGAAAACATGCAGGTAATGCTCCTTGTGGGTGATGGGGATCTGAATATGAGTTTGATGTAGGGTAGCCGGAATAGCAAGCATCTGGGTATCCACCTCGCATACAAAGACGGGTTGTTTTCCTGGTTTTTGTGGCATAGTCTTGAGTGCCCGTACCTCAGGCGTGATCGTTGCCGTGAACAAGAGAGTTTGCCGCTCCGCCGCAGGAGGAAGAACGGACAAGCACTCCTCAACATCAGGCAGCATACTACCAGGTCCGGCAGCATGAAGCAACCGATCAGCTTCGTCGAGAACAACAAAACGGACCCGCCGCAGCCCGCATATAGTGTCCTCTCCAGAGGTTCGAATATGATCTGCCAATCGGCCAGGAGTAGCAATAATAACGTGCGGTCGCTGTGCCATCGCAATGGCTTGAGCTCGCATGTCTGAGCCACCGGTGACTAGGATAGCTTTCAAACTCTGTGGAGATGAAATGGCCTTGAACTGCTCATATATTTGAAGTGCCAGTTCTCGAGTAGGCGTCAGAACAACCCCGAATATAGCACTAGGGTCTTCTGCCCACTTTTGCAATATGGGAACAGCAAAGGCGACTGTCTTTCCGGAACCGGTTCTGCTGCCACCAATGCAGTCTCGACCTTTCAGAATTTCAGGAATGCAGCCCTTTTGAATACCCGTGGGTCGTTTAATAGCCATGTTCGCGAGCGACTGTACGAGCCATGGCCGAACGTTGAGACTAGAGAAGCTCGTGTTTGGGTCGGTTGGTGCGAGAATTGGATTCTGCGGTTGGATCATGGTCTCTCCAACTTGGGTATGATCTGTTTTTCGTTTTATTCGGGATGGTGCCTTGATGGTTGAAAGTACTGTCTGGAAGTGTTTCTCGTCATCTTCACTGTCATCTTCATCTTCGGCTTGGTCAAGGTCCAGTGAATCGCCGCCATCGTCTGCAGATGCTGTTCGTCGTCGTTTTCTTGCTCCAGAACTGTCCAGGTAATCCGACTCCGACTCGGATTCGACCTCAGGTGCATTGTCGACATCAGAGGCAGAATTCAACTCTTCGAAATCTGCAGGGGCGCGCATCGCTGCCCGGTTGGGCATGGTAGGCATCGACCTGCAGTGTATTCGGAATAGTACCTCAAAGCGCTTTAGCAAGCAGGCTGTTCCATCATTACCTGAGAAAAAATAAAAAGTCAAGTTGGAAGACTTCATTGTTAGTGGGGGCCAAACTGGTTTTTTGTGGGGCGGTAATCAGTGTGGCCCAACAGTGGAAGGCGCTTTGGGCGCTTCAATGTTTGGCACTTGAAGGGACTCTGGACGGAGTAACCTGCGGAGTACTTGAGCTGGAGCTAACGGCTAAGCGGGTCAGGAACAAGCAGGAGTAGGTTGGCTGTTGGATGTGCCTCGTACCTGCTTTTACATGGACCTTGGCGTAAGCTTCGCCATTCAGCATCTGGAGTGCATCAAATGCGACGCGCGTCAGTTTCGGTCCTCTTTTCGGTCGCAATGCTTACAATACACGTGGCGTTGTTTTTAAACACTTGAAATTAAAGGAGCCTTTTAAGCCTTCTGTACTACTCTGTACGCACCTCAAGGACGAGGGTCTCCCTTTGGAACTACCGCTCGTTAACGGAGTAGTACAGTAAGTAGCATAGCACATGGAGGTCTGTAGACGCGCGCTTATAGTCGGGAATCGTCATCATTGGTTGGTGAAGGCATCTTCCCTGTTGTACCAGTCGGTCAGAACCCCAGCAGATTGGCAGGCAAGACGCTAGGTTAGGCAGAGGATTATGGCCAAGGCGCAACAGTGTCCTGAGACAAGCAGCGGGCGACGAATGCAACTGCATCTTCAAGAATCGGGTTTATGCGAAGTAAGATACGATGACACTGACAGGCTCGGATATTGACACTTCGAAAGTATGGTTCAGGTAGCGTATTGTGTGAGAGTAGAGAGCTTTGTCCACATGCATGTATGGGCGACACCCGGCAAGCGTCATATGAGCAGTTCACCCACTTACTTTTCCCATGGACAAAGTGATACCACCTACTTAAGTAGGTAGTAGAATCCTTTCCGGATTTTCAAACGTACTCGACCCCTGAAACTGGCATGATCCCATTAGGGAACATGCTTGCTCACTCCTGAGGCTGACAGCTGGAGTGGGCGCTGAGCCTTGTAAGGGAGTGCGATGCCGAGCCGATGCTGCCTGATTACCCGTGTTGCATCCAAGATTGGAATACCCCATCTTCGTACTCCAGGAAGATGTACCATACAAGGCCTGAACAAAGCGAAGCATACAGTTGATAGAAGGGTGGATAAGTAAAGCAGAACGCATAATCCACCAACCGCTCGGTCAATAGTGTTCCTTTCGTCCACCACAACTTGGACCGCATGGACCGAATCATGCCATATATTGCTTGCCAAGCTGCAATCGAAGGCCCCATTTGCGAGCCGGGCAGTAATAGAAAAGAGGGGTTTTGAACAGAGAACTCGGACCTAGGAAGAGAGAACTACTGAATTGTAGTAAGTGATTGTGACGGCCACCAACATCAGGCATCCTATGTGACATGTAGTGGTCCCTCATCTTCGTACTCCAGGAAGATGTACCATACAAGGCCTGAACAAAGCGAAGCATACAGTTGATAGAAGGGTGGATAAGTAAAGCAGAACGCATAATCCACCAACCGCTCGGTCAATAGTGTTCCTTTCGTCCACCACAACTTGGACCGCATGGACCGAATCATGCCATATATTGCTTGCCAAGCTGCAATCGAAGGCCCCATTTGCGAGCCGGGCAGTAATAGAAAAGAGGGGTTTTGAACAGAGAACTCGGACCTAGGAAGAGAGAACTACTGAATTGTAGTAAGTGATTGTGACGGCCACCAACATCAGGCATCCTATGTGACATGTAGTGGTCCCTCTCACACACACACACACACACACACACCGACACGCACCTTCACTCTGAATGAACTACTGGTGACCGAGTCTCGTTGGCCAGCCTGAAGATGGGCCCAGCAAGCAGGCCAGCTTTGGGGATGGCAAGATGGGTCGCACCACACATTGGACAGGCCGAGACAACAAGCCCTAACATCCAGCTAAAGGGGACATGTATGTAGAGTAACTGGTGATGGTGGGCGGGGGGGCAGCAGATTCGTTTACTGGACAAGTGACCGCCGGATGCATTGGACTGTACGGAGTACCGAGGAAACTATTGGGCGAAGCCGGATGAGTTGCCGTCAATCCGTTGGAGCCTTGTTGATGTGCTCGGTTAGTTACATCATGACACAATAGTACTCCGCACATAGAATAATCACCCACCAAGGACCTCGTTGCAATTGTACTCCAAAGTACCAAGCGATCGTCAACGGTCCCTTCTCACGCTCTTCCTGAAAATACTAGCCAGGGGTAACATTGCATACGTTCCCTGTTTGAATGGCTTCATTTGGTGTCCTTTGGTGGAGTATAAGCACTTCAATGTTTGAGCTTGGGCCATGGCGCAGGGAGCCATGGTCAGACTGAGTTTGGTTCCAACCAGACTGTTCGCCATGTTGTCTGTGATGACACTTGATTTTTTTATTTTCTTATTTTTTTTTCCCTCTTCTGTTCCTGTGAGCTCAGGGGTATTGGAAAAGAAAAATAGGAAAGCGAGGTTTTAATCGACGTTACCAAACCCAGCAGCATGGGGTCCTGCGCATCGAGCACCATGCAAAGTTACCAAATGCCCTCATCGCTTGAGCTGTGCATTTCAATACATCCGTGATTCACGGTGCTGTACTCTATTCCACTTCGGCCCACGAGTTAATGAGCCTCAAACATCTTGGAAGCATGGGTCTATGCTGCTTTACTCGGGCATGTTCACGACTCATGTCTCCACAAAGAGCCTTCTCGCGTCTACTGCGGCTCATGTCTGGTAGACATGTCGACGAAGCTTCTGCCAAGTGTCATCTCACGTGTAGATGAACATAAGCGCGAGACGTGAAAAATATTTAAAACTTGAATCTGTTCCTCTACGTCGTTTAAACTCCTTGCGCTTACGGAGTATGTGGCAGCGAATGTCTCATTGTTAACTGAAATTGCGCAATGTACCAAGATATCAGGTGCAATACCTCACCAAGTCAATATGTCCCCGGAGTGCTTCACACTTAGAATTAATTACGCACAGAAAAAAAGTGCAGTTGGAAATTGGAGCGGCTCTCACTCCACCAGCTGCATTCACACAACCCGGCAGGCTTGTTGATATACCATGTTTTACAAAACGTCCAAGGTGACGAGTAATTTGACCACCAGGTTTTGAAACGGGTGCTTTTGCATGCGGCGCAGAGTGTTGGCCCTGCGTTGGCAAATTGTGAAATTTCCAGTAATGCGGCTCGGTAGTTGGAGACCGGGATTACGGCATAATAGTAAAAGTAGAGTGGACATATGCCCATCTGTTGCTACTGCCGCATTCGAGGGGATCAGATGGAAGAATTAATTGATCGAATATGTTGTTCGGATTGCGGTAACTGTTGGCCTTGTCCTCGTGTCGTTTTAAATATTCTCATCGCCACTGGTGGGCCTGAAACAATATCCAACGTTCGTATACTTCGTTATTCAAGGCCTATTTCCTAGTCGCATCCCCAAGGGTCAACACGTGTACCGAGTGAGGATCACAAAGAGCAGGATATTCTCCGAACTTGTTAGCACATTGCGGGCTGGGGTCAACGATAACCTGCTAGAGACCGTAACGATACATGGTACATTGTTCAGACAAGTACCGAGAGCAAACGAGTGATCTGCTGGTGGAAACCAGAGATTCCGACACGTATATGAAATACGAACAGGCGAGTCTATAACCGAGGCCGGAGATCGCAATCGCCTGGTTATGTCGGAGACAAAAAAACGGTATAAAACTCGGCGGTTTGGTATGTCGCAAACTCCGAACTCGAGCTCAGGGTAGCCAAGTTGCTGAGTCGAATAGAAATAGGTGCTACGTATTGACGGGGACGCCAGTACAGAGCAGGCGACGACGGGACAGCAACGTATACATAATTCGCGACAACACCACCCCGAAGGGTCAAGACCTGCAATAGCCCTTCGATCAGAGTTGGGTGTTTCAGATCCAAGAATGACATCAATTTGTGGGTGCAGGCGTGAGTCGCTAACATTGCACCCCCGCCAGGCCCAGAGGTCCTAACTTTGTTCGACCAAAGCGTCAGCTTGGCACGATGTTGATACGTAGTCATCACCCTGGTTGTTTCAGACAGGCGAATACCAAGACTATCATACCATTAGTTAGTGATGTAGAGGTAGACTCCATGGTAGCGGTTATTTTGTTAGGCTCGGCGACCCATTTGATCCCTGGCTTGCCCTGTGGCAACGTGGAACTCGGGGTTGCAAGGATCGTCAAAGTCAAATTACGATGAGCTATCTGGGAAGCAGAGATCCTTGCGACGTGTTGAAAGTTAGATGTCAGATGATGGCAAGTATGGTTCAACAGACGGCCTTTTGCGGGGAGGTTGTTTTTCGGTCCTCCAGTGTTGATCACATGGAACAAAGCAGAAGCAAACCGAAAAGTAAGTCATTGGTGCGCTTGTGCATGGTGCAACTTCGAGTCGTTTGCTAGTCGGTTCAAGGACCAGCTTTGCTCGCACGGCTATTGCCGAATGAAACGGTACGTGTAGGAAGAAGGGTCGATTGGTCTTGAGCGTAAAGTGAATGTGTCAATGTGTCATTACGCGATGAATCGCCGTATGTTCGCCAGTGATGAGACGGGGCCCCTGAAGGCACGGCCACGATGTCGAACTGGAAGAAAATACATAATTAGTAGTAGTATAGAATTGGCGCCAATTTACTCAACACGGTGGGTATCTTGATGTGTGTGTGGCCTTTGCGCCTTGGGAGTCTCCAGTCTCCAGTCCCCAGGATCCAGGATCCAGGATCGTAGATGCTCAGCCAGGTTTTGACGGAGTAAAACCACAGCTTCGGAATCATGCTCAGTGAGTGCAATCGAAGCAAATCGAAAAACTGCCATGTATTTGATGTAACATGTAACAACACAGTGGCAGATTGTTCGCGTGAGAATGGCAAGTCAAACGCTGGCTCTCGATCTGGCACGATAAAA